CTTACACATATTGTTGAAAGAATACCAATTTAATCATCCTTATTAAACTCGACACCTTGTAGAGAAAAAGTTGAATCTTTTGAACATTCTTTATGTTATCTGGAATTAGAAAATGTAATTACTAACCAACATGCTTACTTTTACCCCAAAAATACATATTATGTAAGCAACAATGCTTCATTCTAGAAAGCACGTATTATTTCTTTCCAGCCATATCATCCAGAAAATGCACGATAGAACAGCTCTACATATCTGCTTTAACTCTTTTGGCGAGGCATCTAAACAATATTTTTGGAAATCACGTTTTTCAGTTGGTTCTAACAATGAAAATTGCTTTTTTAAATAACATTGTTAGCATTGAAGGAGGATAAACAATATCTGAAGCTTAAACTGTATTACTACAGTTTGAATTGTGATCTCTTGACTACAAATTATTCCCGTGCAATAGCTTTTTTCTTGAATATATTATTTCAAAGTGCAGTTCATATTCAAAGTGTTGCATGTTTTATCCTTCGAAAAATGAAGTCTGTTTTTTCAAGTTAGCTATTGTAGCTTTTATAAGAATCAAAATATCTGCTAATCTGTTGCTAAATACAATTAGGACAGTAGATGTTAATACAGTTTAGTTGCGGATTTCGTCCGTTGCTATAAACAATTACTCCCTCCGTATTAAATTAGATGAAATACTTTCCTTTTTAATTTGTTCCAAAATAAATGACACATTTCTAAAATTGGAAATAATTCAACTTTAAATTCTTCATTTTACCCATTTTATCATTAATGAGAAGCTTTTATAACTATACAAAGCTTTTACCTTTTAAGCTTTTAAGACTACAAGTTTCAAAAATCTTTTTTTTTCTTAAACTCCGTGTCAAACTACCCCATCTATCAAGAAATTGAGATTTCAAATTCCATTACAAACCTTCGTAACAAGAATAAAAGATTTCCAGTTCGAGACACAATGCCTTTGAGAATCAAGAATCTGAAAACTTGGTAAACATGTACTGTAAATTAAACTGAAGTGCTAAAGAAATAAATAAATTAATGAATCAATCTTTACACAAATCATACGTAAAAGAATTCCTTCCAATCCTACAAGCTAAGAAGTAAGAACAAAAGAAACTACAAAACAAACTAATTAAAGAACATACCGAAAAATAGAATTAAAAAAGGTACGGCAACAGCTAGAAAAATGGTGCCTGTGATAACAAGGCAAACCTTTTCACTACGATATCGCCTATTCCGACTATAACGACTGTCGTTACCTTTGATATTAAATTTTGGAAATAACGGCTCCTTATCAGGGAATATCGAAATTTCTTTTCTCAATCTAACCATTATTTTTCTACTTCAGCTGCAAAAATAGAATAGAAAATACTTGTTTGCCTTTTCTTGATATGTTCATGTATTGGCATTAGATTTGTGTATATATAGTTACGAAAAGGAAGAAACCGTATCCAAATTTACTAAGGAATGTGGCTTTTCTTCTTATTCTTGAATCTTGAGCTAATTCCTACTTGAACAAGATTTCGTCTTCTTTTTTTTTTCCACTAAAGAGTTCTTGACCAATGAGAAATCAAATTACATAACCCTTTTTCATTGTAAAAAGGAAATAGATTTTTTTTTAACGCATAGAGAAACCGACTGCACTCATAAAGATTAAAGATAATTTAATTAGGTCAAATTTTATGTGGCACACATCTTATTAGAGATTCAAACAAATTCATCTTATAATCACCATTATATTTTAAAAAGATTCTTATGATACTCTTTTAATAGTTTCCAAATGTAACTACTTTTTCTTCAAAAGTCAGTGATAGATGTTTGAAATTTAACAGAAGCAATTCGAGAATTTGGCCCTCATATAAAATGGAGCGGAAGTATTAGAAAATGAAACGAAAGATAGAAAAGTTGAAACACCAAAAATTTTAGGAGTAAATTTCGTGGGTGGTCATCAAGTTTTGTGCTCGTTACCTAAAAATCATTAATTTTCTTTTGTTACATAAAAATCATTTTACTTTGACCGATTTTTATAAAGATCCACCTGAAATGTGAGAGAAAATAATAAAGTGATCCTTATATTTGGGGGTAAGTTCAAAAAGACCTTTTAATATACTCCTCAACGTTTTTGTTCCAGTAAAGCTACCAAAAGTGAGTACTTTAGATTTCGTGGAGTATAACAAACTCTGCCTACTAACTATAATAAAAACTTAAAAAATAAACTAGAATTACCAATATAGTAAATGGCGAACCAAAAGTTTTAAGCACATAGGTGCTCTACCACCTTAAACATGGAGTTACTACTAAGAACAGATTATAAGAGTGAAATCAGTTAAAAGTAAGAAAAAAAGACAATGACACATTTTAGCTTTTTATCCTCTTTTTGCAATATAAGTAAACCATATCCTTTCAAGACTAAATTAATTAGTTAGTATTTGATCCTTTAAGCGATTAAAAAAAGTGATCGAATTGTCTGAAAGTCGAACCAATGAATGAGCGTAAATTTACCAATCATCACAATGGACTTTAATGTAACTAACCTACATTTGCCTTAAAAATGAGTCAACACATTTAATGATACATGAATTTCAGTTCTTGCAGGCCACATAATTGATTATAAAAAATAAAATTAAGTTATCCTATACCTAATGCAAGTTAGACTATATACGATAGGATGGACATGTCAAATCCAGAAGTCGCACTAGAAATATATTTTAACAAATCCTTCAATTCTACTCGATTCTTCTACTGCTGACAAGAGTGGGTTGCTCTAGTGGTGAGCACCCTCAGCTTCCAACCAAGAGGTTGTGAGTTCGAGTCACCCCAAGAGCAAGGTGGAAAGTTCTTAGAGGGAGGGAGCCGAGTTTACCCCTACCCCAAGCCCAGGGTAGGGATAATGTCTGCGTACACACTACTCTCCTCAAACCCCACTAGTGAGATTATACTGGGTTATTGTTGTTGTCGTCTTAGCAGTCCTAAATCATTTAGGATTTGGTACTTGCGAGTCTTTTGAGTTCATGTCTAATTAAATTTTGTAATCAAAATCAAATGGGATTATGTTGTGATAGAGCTGATGTGGAGGACACCTCACATGCCACCATGGATATGCCGACTCAGCCAGAGAGTGCAACTGTGAAACATAGCCAACACGTGGAGATTCTATCCAAAAGATTAACATAGCCAACACGTGAAGGTTAAGGGCTAAAATACGTGAAGGCAGAGCAGGCGGTTATAGCATGAGTAGAGCGCAAGATAGTATAAATAAGCTGTTAAGCAATTGTAGTTGTAGGCTATTATGTTGCAGTAAGTTCTTGTATCCACCCGATTTTTCGTTTTAAGAATTTAAGTCTCGTTCAGTGGCATAAGGCCTTGAGCAGCTTTCGATTATGTGTATTGACTTAGATAGAAAAGTTGAAACACCGGGAAAAAAATATATTCGTTTTTTTCAGTTTTTAGTAAAAATAATTTCAGTTTTTTCCAGTTTTTACAAAAAAAAATGGGTAATGAGTTTTTTTTAATTAATTATGAGATATTTAGAATTGACCAACAGTACGATGACACATGTCCCTCCGTTTAAATGAAGGGTATATTTGAACCCAAAGTATGACTGCAGGGGTATAGATAACCTAATAGTATAACGAGAGGTATTCTTAGATCATTTTCGAAAGTAGAGGGGTATATTTGGCCTTTTACCGTAGAAATAATTAGGTGGTGACTCTTCAAATTTAATCAAACCGTATTTGCCTATATGTTGTACCTTACTTTAAACAGATTTAAAATAGGGTATAATAGCAAGCACATTCAAAAGAAATAGAGGAGCTATTAACAGCAACATTCCATATCAATAGCTCCTCCGTGGCAGATCATGGAGGTTCGAAGAACCAACCTGAATGTTTTTTTGCCTTTATTCTAAAAGCTGGAATTTGCATCCTATCCAATCTGAGAGCTCCTTTAATCTCATTGGGTAATTCATTTTCCGTGAAATAAATTTCCTTATCAATGATGGTGTTTGCATACTTAGATAGCAGGTCGGCAACTCCATTACCTTCTCTTAGGCAATGTTTATCGCGATATTTTGTTGTTGCACCACTTTTTGAATTTGTGTAATGATCTCTTGTAGCTTCCTTGGTATCTTAGATTTGCCTGAAATCATGTTAAACACCAAAAGGGAGTCCATTTCTAGTGTAAGATGTTGTAGATTTTGTTAACAACACCATGTAATACCTTGAAGGGCAGCTTGGGCCTCTGAGTAATTGTTAGTCAAGAATTGGATTAGTGCTACAAATGTCATCACCATGTGACCATTTCTGTTCCTAACAACACCTCCCGCTCGTGCTCTGTTCAGGTTATTCATGTAGCTTCCATCCGTATTGAGTTTCCAGGCTCCCTCTGGTTTTTCCCATTTAACCATGACACTTGATAATTTAGGCTTGTAATTTTCTACCACTTGGCAGACTTTTATCCAGTTCCATTCCCACTCAATTTTGCTGAACTTCTGTCTGATGGAGACTTTAACCTGAAAAAGAACTTGTTGGTTAATTCTAGAAATAGATATAGGATTCCTACCATATTTTTTGTCGCATCTAGCACTACAAGAAAAAAGGCCTATAGCGAGGGGAAAGCGGTCGTTAGAAGTCCAAATCCGATCATTATAAGCTTGTAGCGACCGGAGAAAATCCGGTTGTCGCCGGTCGTTAAAAGCCTTGACGTTAAAAGTTAACGACCGGACTGTAAGTTGGTCTTTAAAGGTCCTTTAGCGACAACATAAATTCCGGTCGTTGTATGTATTTTTAGCGACAGATTTTTCCTTAGCTAAATTGTCATCCTAGTCGTTAAAAAACTTTATGGGAGCAACAAATTTGATCATTACAGGTATTTTTAGTGCCCAAATTTCCCTTCGCTAATGAGATGTTTTACTAAATATAATTACAAAACTTTATTTTACTGAATATAAAATAATTATTTCATATGCTTTCACACACATACGACACAATCAAAACTATATTAAATAATCAATATTCATATGAATAATAAAACAGTCCAAATTGTATGGCAATGTTTTAACAACTCCTAAAAAGAGAAAATGCGTTCAATGTACATAAAACGTCTTTAAACCACCCCTAAGAAAATAAATTTCTTGTATTTCAACTTTTTGCTCTGCACTGTTTCAAGAATTGATACTTCGAACTTCCAAATTCTTGATCTGCTACGCTTTACTCGTATATGACTTGTATTAGAACTATATAGCCTTCTTGATCAAATTGCCTCCAGTAGGTCCATGACAAAAGTGAACAAAATGTCAGATCTCATTATAACAAATTACAAATTAAGAAACGTAAATGATACTAATAATAATAAAGCTTCAATATCTTCTTTAATCAAACTGCTATACAAACTGGCTGCAAACTCCACCAAGGGACTTGAAAGACTCATTTAATTTCTTTTTACGGAGACACAAACAATTCCAAAATCATTTTGGTAATTCATTTTCTAAGACTTTTATGCAAATTCTGAATTTGTATTCTTTTTTATGGTTATTCCTTTTTTACTTTCTCATTGGAGAGATGACAATACCTTACAATTACAATTACTTATGATCTTAGAAGTTCTAAAGTACCTGCTTAGAAAAATACAGGACATATGAAAATACATCACGGTAGCATCACTAAATACTAGACTCTAATTGCTAATAATCAAATAAAACTAACTAAAAAATCCAGTCAGGATACCCTAACACAAGCCAAAAGGAAAAGAAGACTAACAATATGAACATGCTATCGATTTCCCCACTAAGGTAAGAATTGAACATAGAACAAACAACTTTTCTTTATACTGTATATATCCGGAATCCAAAAATAAAGCCATCTCCCTTCTAAAATAAGAAAATAAACAAATAAATAAGTATCATCTACCTTTAGCGGAGCATAAGAAAGTAAGACTTTCAAGCTACTTCAGAAGATTAATACACAACTTCTAATTAAGTAATTCTCATTTAAAGCATCTGATGATAGTCTCAATCTCCATTAATGCAGCGAGCATAATAATTAAAAATACAAATATTATGAAACAAAAGATTAATACTACAAGGATTTTAGAGCATCAAGCATAATAATCCCCACAACCACTGAAAGAAACCAGATTAGTGAGTATGGGTGTCTAAAAAGATGAAATATTTTGGGAATGGAAAGATTGTTGGCGCGTGGCTGTAAAGATGGAAAAAAGAGTGAGTCCAAGGTCTCACATATAATGTTCACAACCAGCAACAAACACAAGTTATTTGACATGCATCAAGCTTGAAAAATAAATCAAGAAAATGATGCTCTAAATCCTTACAGTAATAGCTTCCTCTGTTCCAGCTTATCTTCTTCGATGTCCGCCCATGAGTATACCCTCAATGGACACATTTAATGATCACGAACAAATACACCTAACTGTCTTATAAATGAGGCGTGACGCTTCCCAACTACTTAGTAGTGATAAATATGCCTCTCAAGAAGCAAGGCTCAAATTGATACTCTGGTCACAGAATAATTTATCAAAATTTTAAAGCTAAAATATGATTCCATGGAGCTACAATCTCCTAGGATTCTTGTGAATCCAGTTAGAATTAGAATCAAATAGACGGGAAAGTATGATCAAAACTAGTTACTATGGGCATAGTTGATTGATGCGTATAAGTGACTTAGCTTCAAAATATACAACAACATAAATAAAATATACAAAAAGCACAACAATGCATAATGAAAAGATCTTGGCCTTTTCAGGTCCATATATTGTCATCCAAATAACAGGAGGGTGCAGAATCTAATACTAAATTCAGACTCCCGGCAGTTATCTCACGTGGATAATGTAAAGCAAAGATTAGGCATAATTAAAAAAAAAAAAACAAGTTTAAAGCAAGGTTCAAGGAACAATATAATTCATTACTCGGGAGGAAACACTAAAAGAATTAAGACGTTCACTTTAAAGGCAGACAACGCAAGATTGGAAGAATGTTCAGAAGTTTAAACATCTAAAAGTGTTCCCCTTTCATGAGTTACTAACAATTTATTTGATTTGTTTTCTTGTTGGTAATGTAAATAGCTCATAGAGCAGAAAACAAATGCACATTTTATATTTATCCCAACATTACATAAGAAATGCTACTCTGTTCAACTTTAACTTTACCATATATAGAGATTCAATTCCAAGTAGTTCTCCCATTATATTTGGTGAGGAAGGATATTCTTACTTTTTAACTCATAATTGAGTCCTAGCGAGAAGAATGACGATGGCAATGACGAGCACTTTCAAACCATTTACTGACTTGTATATTTGACAAAAAGAAACTAAGGAAAAAGAAGGCAGCAACAAAGCAAAATTGAAGATACAGGTGGAGAAAATGCGGACGAAGCTGAAATTAACATATGCCAGGGAGAACTCATAAAACCTGGTGAGCTGTTAGGCCTAATTCTTTACTCAACTTCTCATTTGCATCACGGTCAGGATACTGATTTTCCTTGAAGGATTCGTAGAGCCTCTGAAACCCCAAAATGATTGAGCTGAAGTGGGGAAATGCATGAAAACTATCAAAGAATATTCTTTTAGTAAAGTAAAGAAATAAGTCGATCAATTGCTCTAAATCACAAACTAGGTGGGTCTGCCATATGAAGCCTTCAGTCACAATTCATTCTAAAACTAATCAAACTGTCTCTTCAAGCAAATTCAAAAGGCCATGATATTCAAAACAAAAACAAAAACAAAAACCATACATCCATACATCTTTTTAAAAATACTTTCTTTTAGAGGGCATTACCATATTAGGCAAGCACAACTATAAATAAGTATTACTACTTTCTTTTGTGGAGGCAATAAAAGAGTAAATAAGTTCTACTTAATAGCTAATAAAGTTAGTTTATGATATCCATTGTATATAACTTGTTCAAGGATGACATAACAATGACCTCCTACCTTCAATAGAAATTGTTTGTAATTTCATGGAAAGTAAGATGTTGTTAGACCTATAAACACTGATCAGATATGTAAAAAGTTAGAACCAGAGTAAAGCCCACAATACCTTGATGGCACCTTCCCTATATGTTTTCTTTTTACCACTTGAATGAAGTTCAGAGGTGTCTATGCCTCCAATTTTGAGTTTCTCACAGAGACCCCTATCAGAAGCATGTCTACTCCCTTTCTGCTACCCACTTTGGTACTTTGTATCTGCTAAAGTCGAACTAGGAGAAGTCATAGTAGCTTTGGCACTTTTGATCTCTCTCTCTCTCCTTGGGTGAAGGACCACCCTCAAAATCTTCATTACTAGAATCAGAAGATTCATTTCCATATGTTTCCTTCATACAAAAGTGGTCTGAGCAATCAACCCAAGCAGGTGAAATATAAAAAGATAAGGAGCCACATTGAAGAACACACATGCATATATGATCGATGAGATATGACATGCAGAGACGTACCATTTCAATAAAATGAATCATTATTTTTCCCGTATAATAGAACTTAATTTATGTTATACAATAAAGAAAAATAATATGTCCCATCGCAGATAATCGATTTTCTCAATCTTTCACTAAAAATAGCAGTTAAGACTTCACATTTTAAACTCCATGATAATTTGCAAGCTCGACATTTCAACTTGGTTGTATCAGAGTAATTGTCCATCAGCTCTACCAGCTGAATCACATCATATGAAAGTTACAAGCCGTGTTTTGGAAGAAAAATGTCATTCTCTTTCTTTCCAAGAGATGACCTTTATATCAAGTAACCAACAAGGGAAAACAGCAAAGAAGGTCGGCTACTGGATTCAGTGAAATCGATACCTCAGCAACCTAAACATTAGTCATGCACCTCTTTCAGAGTTGAAAGAGTAACAACAGTTCACTATAATGACAAGTGCTTGAATGCTTTTACAACTTAAACACCTATTATACTGATCAATCTAAGAAAAAAAATGAACTAATCATTTCCGCAAATACTGGACAACAATTCTCTATAAGAGATTTTGAAAAATTAAACAAAGTAAAAAGAGCCATCACAAGATTTGTTGCTACAAGTTGTGAACTGGAAACATAACAATTAAGTGAAGCAAAAACTCAAACACCAAACTGATATCTAAAACTCAATAGAAATACCTTTATATGGTAACACCCAAAAAATGCAAATCACTGTTAAGCTTCGATCGTCAAAACCACTGCCTAATTTTCACGCATTGAGATTTATCCTTCTAAGGCTCTAAATTTTTGAAAACCCAACTGGAGAACGACTGAATCTTTTACTCAACACAAAGGAAAACAGAAGTCATGTCATGAAGAAGGAGAAAGCAAGAGAAAAACACAATTGAAAAGCAGTAGAATAGATAGAGATGATGATATGGTGATTACATATTGAAACTAACTATTCCACAAATTCATATTTTTTAAGCCCAGATTAAAATAATCAAAAATTTCTTAAGCCCAAATTAAGATAAACTGAAATCGATCTTACAACAAATTCTTAATTCTAAACCGACCATGCCACAATTTTTGAACACCAACATCACCAAAGTGAAAACCAAATCACAACCCTATTAATTTGAACCAAAATTAAAATATAAAAAAAGTAAATTTTCAAATCTTACCTTGATGAGAAGAAACTCTAATATGAGCAGTTGATGCCGGCGGAGGTGACAAATGTTTTTCTCTTCTCACATAAATTTTTGATAGCAATTTCAGGTTTTGATCAACAATAGACTGAGGGTCTTTTTGGAGGGAGAGTGGGGCAGGCGTAGGGTGAGCTTGGGGGGAGAAGAGGGAAAATATAGCGCCTATTTTTTTAATTGATTAATTATAATTTTTAACGACCAGATATTATTAATTAGTTAATGTCAAACTAAAAAATTGCTTTAACGATAGGAAAAAAAGGTTGGTCGCTATAAATACATCAATAACGACCGGATTAATGTCCCTTCGTTAAGAAATAGTCGTTAAAAAGCATATTTCTTATAGTGTAGCTTTCCATAGTTCCCGACAAACTATCGTTTGAGTGATTTGCAGTCGATACTTGTGAACTATCTTTGTTGCTTGTTTGTTCCACCAGTATTCAAATATGTTCAGAAAAGTCCTTCCTCTTGGATGAAGTCCCAGAGGCATGGATATATTCTTTCATATTTTTCTAGTTGTTTCACTTAAAACAAAGACATGGTTCATAGTTTCTTCTTCTGGTATCCTGAAAGCAAACACATCTAGAAACAATGTTAGTATTAAACTTTTTAATAATATCATCAAGCGGCAGTTTGCCTTTTAGAATTTTTCAAGTATTAAAGGAAATTCTAAATGGCAGATTTTTGCTCCATATTTGCGCAATCCTTGGATCGAGGTTTCTTCTTTGTCTTAAAATTTGATATGCGGTAGCATAGGAGAAGGAACCTTTGGTGTTAGGAGACCAAATGACATGGTCTTTCTTGTTTGCTTGGCCGAGGTTAACTAGGGATATCTCTTGCACTACATGGGAAGGAAGGTTATCTTTCAGCATGTCCAGGTTCCATTGACGCTGATGGATAAATTCATAAACTTTAGTATTCCCCCGCTTGTGATTTTGGTTGTAGAGAAACCTGAGAGGGAATAAAGGGGACCAATTGTCTCACCAAAAATAGTTGCTTCCTTAGTTGATTTTCCAATAAATGTTGGTATCTACTTTTTCTCTTAATTCCAGTAGATTCCTCCATGTATTGGAGTCTTTGGAGTTTAGCACTTTGGAAAGAGGGTTTGATCTCGGGCGGTATTTGGCTTTTAAAAACTAGGTCCATAGGTTGTCTTCCACTCTAAATCGCCACCATCTCTTTGTCGCAAATGAGTTACAAATATCTTGGTTGAAACCAACTCCACCTTCTTCGCAAGGGTAACTCAAGTTATTCCACGAACTCCAATAGTAGCTCTTCTTGCCTTCCTTTTCTCCCCAGAAGAAATTAGCAAGATACAGTTCAATTTGGTCAATAATTGCTCTCGGGGGAATCATGGCAGCGAAAAGGTAAAAATTCTAGGACTGTAGCACATGATTGGTGATAGTAGCTCTTCCACCAAAAAGATAGCATTTTTGTCTTGCCATCCTCCTTTTTTGTTGAGAACTTTTGTTGCAAGACTTGAGAAATAGCATATCTTCTTTCTGCCAGTATATATTGGGCATCCTAAATAAGTGAAGGTAAATTGAATTTGTTTAAATCCAGTCCACTTCCTTATTCTTCTGTTAACTCTCTTATCTCTGAAGTTATGAGTGAGAAAGAAAATTTTTCCTTGTTGATTTGTTGTCCCGAGGCTTCTTGATAATCTTCTAGTACTTTCATGAGAAGTTTTCTTGAATTCCTGTCACTAGAAGAAAAAAGAATTAGATTGTCCGCATAGCATAAATGGTTTATCTTAGGCCCTTTAGATCTTATTGAGAAATTACAAAATTGAGGGTTCTCATTGAGTTTATTTAGAGCTTTAGATAATGCTTTTGCAGCTAAAATAAAAAGAGAGGGTGAAAGAGAATCTCCCTGTCTAACTCCTCTAGTAGACTTGAAGAACCCATATCTGGTTCCATTAATTAACATGGAGTACCAATTGTTGGCCAAGAGTTTGTGTAGGAGCGCAATGATAGGTTCAGAGAAATTCATCTTCCTTACGAATGCAGTGAGGAAAGTCAAGGAAAGCTTGTCATAAGCTTTTGACATGTCTAGCTTAATGATGATGTTCCCCCCTTTGTTGTTCTTTCTGATATCATGGACTATTTCTTGTACCAAGAGAATATTTTATGTGATTAACCTCCATTTAACAAATCCATATTGGTTTTGTGATACGATTCTAGGAAGGAGAGTGGCAATTCTGATAGCAATAATTTTAGAAACTATCTTATTCGAGACATTGCACAAGCTAATAGGCCTCAGTTGATCCAAGGTTGTTGGGGCAATAACTTTGGGAATAAGAACCAAATTGGTGTGGGTATAGTAGTTGAATAAGAACCAATTAGCCCTAGTGAAGAAGTTCTGCACAAAGTTACATACTTCCTCTTTGATGATCTCCCAAGAAGTTTGATAGAAGTGACAATTGAAACCATCTGGTCCAGCAGAGCTATTGGGATGAATGTAGAATACAACATTTCTAACTTCTTCCTCGGTAGGGAGCTCATGCCTTCTTATCTTCTAAGTCATTTGAATCTTCTTTCTCTCTTGTAGTATTTCACTTGTATTTTTGGAGTGAAATAAAGTTTGAGTTGATTGTGTCCGAGGACTAGGCAAAAATTAAATTTTGCCGAACCTCGTTAATTTCTGGTGTTCTTTTATTATTATCTCACTTACTATTTATTAGCTACCTTTAGATATAGTAGTTGTGATTTAATCACTCTCTATATATTCGGTTTCCGCAATAATTGGTATCAGAGCCAAGGTTCTATCTGAGTATACTCTGTGGTTGCAGCATAGTCTGAACTTCCACATTAAAAAAAAATTACTTTGGTATTCTGTACTATCAGCAAATAAATAGTATCTGTAGCAAAAATGAGAGATAATAAAAATTAAGAGTCCACATCGGGTGTCAGTAATACGTCGTTGGCATCTTCGCTTATGACAAGAACTATGTCAAATGCTAAATTTGCAGTTGAAATATTTGACGGGTCAGGACATTTCGGGATGTGGCAAACTGAGGTTCATGATGCCCTTTTTCAACAAGGGCTAGATATTACCATAGAAGAAAAGAAACCAGAAAATATCGGAGAATGAGATTGGAAGATTATCAACCGCGTTACTTATGGTACCATTCGATCTTACCTTGCAAGAGAACAGAAGTATCCATATACAAAAGAAATTTCTACAAGTAAATTGTGGAATACATTAGAGGATAAATTCTTGAAGAAAAATAGTCAAAATAAACTTTACATGAAAAAAGACTGTTACACTTCACATATGTTTCTGGTACTACAATGAATGATCATATCACCAACTTTAATAAGTTGGCGATAGATTTGCAAAATATGGATGTGACTTTTAGTGATGGAGATATGACCTTAATGTTATTAAGTTCACTTCCTGATGAGTACGAGCACCACGAAACTACTCGACTTCATGGGAATGATGAAGTGTCTCTTAAATAAATTTGTTCTGTCTTGTATAGCTATGAACAAAGAAAGAGAGAAAACTAAAGAGTGGAGAAGCATAAGCACTGGTCGTGAGAGGTCGTTCTCAAAATCATATGATAACGAAGAAAGGAAGATCCAAGTCAAGATCCAGACACAACAAAGATAAATGCGCCTTTTGCCGAGAAAAGGGGCACTGGAATAAAGAGTGTCCAAAGTTAAAAAATAAGGCCAAACCTAACAATGGGAAGGCTGTCATGGATTCAAATGTAGCTGATTGTGACAACTCTAATTTCTCACTAGTTACAACTAAGCCATTCAAACCATCTGTCATATGGCTGATGGATTCAACTTATAGCTATCATATGTGTCCCAACCGGGATTGGTTCGTTGATTTTCAAAAAGGAGAATGTGGAGTTATTCACACCGCAAATAATAATCCTCTTATCGCATATGGTATTGGTTCAATCCGATTAAGGAATTATGATGGATTGATCAGAATATTAACAGATGTTCGCTAAGTATCGAAATTAAAGAAAAATCTCATTTTTGTAGGAGCCCTAGAGTCAAAGGGGTTCAAAGTTATGGCAGAAAATGGGGTAATGAGAATATGCTCCGATACACTAGTGGTAATGAAGGGAATTTGGAGAAATAATAACATGTACCACTATCATAGTAGTACAGTTATTGGGACAACAACAATGACATCCAGTGATGACAAGGAGGCAGAAGCAACCAAGCTACAACACATGTGCTTGGAACATGCTGGAGAAAAATCCTTGAAAATTTTATCAGATCAAGGATTGTTAAAAGGAGTAAACACATGCAATTGGAGTTTTGTGAGCATTGTGTCAAGGAAAAATAGACAAGGGTTAAATTTGGAACAGCTATCTATAATACTAAAGGTATTTTGGAATATGTTCACTCTAATGTTTGGGGTGCTTCCAAAACACCTTCATTGGATGGGAAACACTATTTTGTAACCTTTATTGATGACTTTTTCCGGAGAGTGTGGGTGTATACTATGAAAACTAAAGATGAGGTACTCGAAATTTTTCTCAAATTGAAGGCGATAATCGAGACTCAAACAGGCAGAAAGATAAAGTGTCTTCGCACAGATAACGGTGGAGAATACAAAAATGATCTTTACAATAAGATTTATGAATATGATGGCATTTTGAGACATTTCACCGTTAGAAATACACCACAACAGAATAAAGTGGCAGAACGTATGAACCGGACTTTGCTGGAGAAGGTTCGATGTATGTTGTCCAATACTGTCTTGGGCAAAGAATTTTGGGCTGAGGCAATAACATATGCATGCCACCTCATTAATCGTCTACCATCTACCGCTATTGGTAGCAAGACACCATTTGAAAATGGTATGAAAAACCTGCTGAAGATTATAATTTTTTGCATGTATTTGGCTCAGTTGCATACTATCATATGAAAGAGTCAAAATTGGATCCGAGAGTAAAGAAAGCTATATTTTTGGGAATTACTTCTGAAGTCAAAGGATACCACTTATAGTGTCCAGAGACAAAAAAAAATTATATTCAGCGAAGATGTTACCTTTGATGAATCTACCATAATAGATAAGGTGACAGTTGAAGATGTCAAACAAACTGATGGTGCTTCAAAGCAGGTGGAGTTTGAGGGAAAATTAATTTTTCCAACATAGGGAGAAAACGAGGAAATAATACAAGATTTTTCGTGGAAGAAGTGTCAGTGGA